CACGAGATGAGGCAGGATAAAGAGGGATAATCCCCCTCGATCCCAAATCATTGAGGCCAATTTCTAGCCATGGAATAATGGCGCGCGTGGCGCGCTTTATAAGCCAGTCTTTCTGATTTGGATCAAGTAACTATCCATTATTGAATTTATAGTAAAAATGATCTGTATCACATCAGTCTTCAGAAAAACATAAAAATAATGTTAAACAAATTAAATCGAATATCAAAATAAATTATCTTATGACAAAACGCATTTAACAGTCTACCAAAGAGTCTTAAATTATGTGGACTACTGGCAGTTAATAACTTACCATTTCGAATAAACATGCCATTTTAAAACGAATAAAAAAACCATTTGTTTTATTTTAATTCTTGTTTGAAATGTAATAAAGATCGAATATTTATTTTATATGTGTCGCCCTGTAAAAAATTGCAATGTGGGTATTTGTGGGTAATGGTGAATCCTGTAATGGGTATTTCATCTGGGAACCATTGGCTACCCTGTATGCAACAAACATTTGACATAACCTCATTTGATAACTCCTTCCTAGAGCAGCATATAAACAACATAATTTTTCTTTAATTTTTATTTCTCCTACAGCTAGCATAGACAAGACTAGAAAATTGTAATTGTATCATGCCTGTTGGTCGCAACTAAGTTCATTTTAAAACATGTGACAATAAAAAATTATGTGTAACAATACTGTATTCGTATATTTATAGTATTAAATATTGAAACTTATTAGTTATAGATTCACTGAACATTACAGTAACTGGACAAATCGATCTCATATAGTAGTGCCATTGATTTTATAAGCTACGCTATCAGATAAGTCAAATGGTGTGTTTTACCCATATACAAGTATGTGGTTTTACCTTGTCTAAAAAGTAACAAGCTGAAGTTTGCCCAAAAATTTTGATGTTTGTAGGTCGTCAGGATCCAGAGCGCACTGTGTTCGACGCCCTCAGAACAAACTAAATGGGAAGTTATCATTAATAGTTATTACTTATAATACTTTTTTTACCATATTATAACAGTATAAATAACAAATTATTTCTCTGATGCATTCTTTCTTTCTTAGATCTGAAGATATCGACTTCGCTGCCCTCTGGCCGCGGTCAGCCTAACTTCTCCCCCTACGATTATCAGCAATTAGACCAGAGGTCGCCAAACTTTTTGCTACCAATTTTTTCTGTTTCGGTAGATCCCCGCATTTCTAATATTGAATTGTTACAAATTCATCCTCAAACTTGTTTTTGACAACTGACATAGTGCTACTTATTTTGATAGGTTTAATTATAGAGTGAAATAGTTAAAAAAAAACTTCAAGTTTTACACATTTATTTATTAAAATAACACAAAATGCAAATATAGCAAAATGATAACATAAAATAACTACACAAAAATATAAATGCTTTGGAAGGGATGAGCTTTACTTACTTTCTTTAATAGCAAATTTTCAATATTTGGCTTCAATTTAGTTAGGTTTAACTTTAAATTCCATGTGGTATGAAAATGGAAAAACTATCAAAATCTTTTTCGCAATAGTCCGTAATAATAATTCTATCATTTACATCTCGTGCACCCCTATTTTTTATTAGCGCTGACATGGTGCCCTTGCAGTTCGGAGTCGACCATAGGGGTCAATATAGAACATTTTGGGAATCATTGAATTGGACGGACCCTGCAAATCTAATGGTAGTATAACAAAGTAATGATTTCAGTAATTTTTGGACTGACGCTAGCAATATACTTTGCTTCACTACCAGAAGTGAAAAGTATGGAAAACGGTAGGTAACACTATGATATTGGTGAATATTAAAAAACATTTATTCTTCAATTAATTTCTTTACAGTTAACGAAGTTAAATCACTATTCCGACCATATTTTGTATAAAAATTGTGAACTACAGCTGCCAAATCTTCATTTTTAAAATATTGCGCAGCAATGAAAACGCTTTCTTTTGTATAGGCAAAAATTCGTTAAATTTGAATACGATTTTATAAACCTATGACCAATACTGAATACTGTCATTAAGGCATTCAGATTTCGACACCACCTAGTATTTTGAAAATTTGAAAATGCATGGTTGATTGATTCTTAAATGCATTTTTAAAAAAGATTTCGTACATTTTATTCCAAAAGTAAGCCATTTTTTAATGTTTTTTAATTTAAAATAAGTAAAACAAAGTTGAATAAGATAATAGTAACTGTAAAAATACTGGTTCCAAAAAACATACTGGATTTTTTTCTCATTAATATTATGGAAAGTCTAAAAATACCATTAGTCTAGAACTTTTCAATTTTCTAACTTATTATTCTTCAAACTTTAAATTCGCACACGAACGATGTTTTGGATCGATAAAATGGTATTAACAAAAAAATTTAGTAATTATTTAATATACCATTAAAACTCGAAAATCCTGAGCTCAACTTTTATAACTGGTACAATTAACATGAGTTATCTCAAGATATCTGATAGACTTCTGTATAAAGATAGGTAATGTTTTTTTTATGGTACGTCGACGTAATCCTTTGAAGATGTGTTAGTAGAGACAATTTGCAGTCAAGTGAACCATAATATGCATTATCCAGAAATTGATAAATTTCAAGATATTTAAATTTTAATGTTTTCTTAGGAGTGTACTACTTAGTACTACTAATTATTGTAAAATTAAAAAAAAAAGAGATAACTGTTTTGTACCTTTTTTTCTTCTACCTTTAATACCTACACATAGTAATTCAAGTTCTGCAACAAAAATTATGTTAATACTTTGATACGACAAAAATACAGGAGCTAAAACAGAAGTTAAAAAGTAAACATAAAACACACCACAGAAATGAGACGGACGAGAGTTGTTAGAAACTTCAATACAATTGTACAGGCTGGTCCATTTTTGATGGGATTTCAGGGTATTTCAGAAACTATTAAAGATATGATAAATCTGACACGACGTTCCCGAGCTCGATTTTCATGGGAAACTCGACTGTCAGATCAGAAATTTGCTATCAGTTGTAAAATAAATTTATGGACTTTTATTTTCTTTCCCAATTTTTTATGAGGACTAAATTATGCGTATGTTTTTTGTGTTATTCCAGGAATTAAAAGAAAATTTCTTAAAACTTTATACCTAATGCGAAAGATAGTAGAAAGATAGACCGATCGAAATAACTCATTTAGAAGGAAAAAAAAGAAAAATGTTACCTTGGACTTTTATAAGTGGAAGTGGCAAAGGGGCTTATAATAAATGAAAAAAAAAAATGAATAAATAAACGCGTGAGCAGGGGCGGCGGAGGGTTGATTTGGGGGGTTGAAAAGTTGTGAAAAATTGTCATTGGGATTTCTGGCAAAAGTTAACGGCAAACAAAAAAATATCCAATACAAAAGTTGTAGATCATACAAAAATTTACAACTTTTGTAGAGGTCACTTTTTAAGATAACCTCAAAATTTCCGAAGAAAATGCGAAAATCAGTTTTTTTCTGATATTTCCTTTTTATTTCTCATTTCCGCAAAAATAATTTAATTTAGACGAAACTTGGTGAAAGTATACCTTTCCACAATTTTTTTTTAGATAAAAAAATCAAGAAGTTTCCGAGATATTAATTTTTTCCGTTGTGAAACACTTTTTCTTCAAAGAAAAATTCTACTTGGAAAAATCATCGTATAAAGTTCTGCCGATGATCATTTTTTGAATGTTTTTTAATTTAAACAAATTAACAATACTGAAAAATTCTTTGTTGCGTCATTTTTTATTTTTTTGCATTTTTGAGCATGTTTTTGAACTGTGATTACAGATTTTTTTATTTCACCAAAAAGTAAATGTCAAAACAAAAAAAAATATTACCGGTAGAACTGTGTACGATAATTTTTTTAAGCAGAATTTTTCTTTGAAAAAAAAGTGTTTAACCCGGAAAAAATTAATATCTCGGAAACATCTTGATTTTTTTATCTAAAAAAAATTGTAGTTATTTAAGACACAGAAAGAAATACTTTCACCAAGTTTCGTTAAAATTAAATTATTTTTGTGGAAATCAGAAAAAAACCAGTTTTTCGCATTTTCTAGGAAATTTTGAGGTTATCTTAAAAAGTGACCTCTACAAAAGTTGTAAATTTTTGTATGATCTACAACTTTTACCATTTCCACTTATAAAAGTCCGGGTAACCATTTTTTTTTTCTCCAAGTGTAATTTGGTTGTACTAAAATGAGAAGTTTTTAAAATAATTTGTACGTTTAATATATTCACAAATTTTGGACGACCAACCGGTTTTAAATCATGAAAACCATTCGTAACATTGCATACGACCTAGAGCTTCATCTCCGTAAGCTAGTTTCAAAAGTTGAAACGTTTCCGTAAAAGTTTTCTCCAGTTTCACGCAATATTTAACGTTGCATCGTCGTTGCACATTTCAAAAATCGGTACTATCATTTAAACACGTTGCATTCAAATAACAATAGCGCAAAAACTAAATGAGATATCAACAATCTAAGAATACAGGGTGTGCCATTTAACACTCCCGCTGCCAATATCTCCGAAATGAAGACATTTATTTTAGTTTTGGAAGCTGGGGTTGTTAGGTCCCTCGAATAGCTTCAAATTGTAGTTAGAACTGTTAGTTCAAATCTTTCTGTATAGATGGCGTAGCGATACTAAAACATTTTTTGAAAATTAGTTTATATTTTCTTTTACAACTTTTTCAATTCACAACATTAAATTACAATTTGTAAATTACACAATGTTATTTACTGAATGCAACTTGATTATTTAGAAACATTTAAGAAATAAATAAATAAATTCAAAGCAAATAAATGTCTAACAGTTCCTACAATCGCTTCCACAATTACATTTTACGACTTGTAGCTTAGAGTTTATTAACAGTGTCATAGTCGTGTGTATCGTATTCCCATTTTGTTTGTCCATGTGTTAATCGATGATCTTTCAAATTCTTCTTACGTTTACTCTCATAATTACATATGTCGCACTTGTACATTTGGATTTCCGAAGGATCTTTGTGTATCAACCGATGCTTATTTAGATTACCGTTATACCTACTTTCATAAGCACAGTACTCACATTTGTACATTTGGATTTCTGACGAGTCTTTGTGTATCAATTGGTGCACTCTCAGATGTCCCTTATACTTAGTTTCAAAACTACACGTATCACATCTGTACATTTGGACTTCCGTACGGCCTTTGTGCACCAACTGATGCGCTCTCAGATAATTCTTATGCCTGGTTACAAAACTGCACATGTTACACTTAAACCTTTGGATTTCCGAGGAATCTTTGTGCATCATACGATGCCTCTTCAGGTGGCTCTTATATTTAGTTTCAAAACCGCAAGTATCACACTTGTTCATTTGGATTTCCGAAGGATCTTTGTGCGTTAACAGATGATCTTTTAGATGTCCCTTGTATTTAGTTTCGTAGGTACAAGTATCACATTTGTACATTTGGATTTCTGACGAGTCTTTGTGTACTAAGTGATGAATTTTTAGATGACTGTTGTATTTAGTTTTGTAATTACATATATCACAGTTGTACATTCGAATTTTTGAAGTGTCTTTGTGCGTTAACTGAAACGTCTTCAGATTACTTTTATGTTTGGTATCAAAACCGCAGGTATCACACTTGGACTTGCCCGCTTCCGAAAGGGTTTTTTGTATCTGATGCAGTTCCACGTTTGGTTTATGCTTAGTTTTAAACTTACATTTACCACATTGGGATAACACTTGCATGTCTAACGAAGGCCCACTTTTTTCAAATTTAGACTGTTCGCTTCTGGGTATTTGGTCATTATAATTCTCAATAAATTCTCTCTCAGATTTAAACACACGTTCGCCTTTTATTTCTACTGTATCTTCAGAAGTATACATCTTTTTGTTTTTAATTGTTTCGTTATCATATGATGAAGCTCTGAAAAAAAATTTAATTTTAAAAAATGTAATAACACGAATCATTTTCAAATGTTGCACTTTAAATTTCCTATATGTATACGTTAAATAGGAGTCAGCTTTTTTAGGGCTAATTGTAATAATAGTAATAATAATAATAATAATAATAATAATAATAATAATACGTTAGTAATTGAAAATAAAACCAATCTGTGTTTTAAAATAATCACTTTTGCCGTTTTAAAAGACATACATAATAAAAAAATAAATAAAAATACTAATTTGATTGATATCGAATATTTTTTCAAAACCGTTTCAAATTTTTACAATTACGCGTTACTATTTTCTTAAGCAGTAATGTATTTAATTTGTAAATCTCAGTGATAATGACCTCTGACCTTGCCTTGAATTATACTACTGTCGCTACATAAACTATATAGAGGCGCTATATAGAGATATTTAGGAATGTTAAAGCAGGTAATACTTAAAAATTATAAAATTCTGAACAAAATATGGTATATTTCTACTCTTTTTTTATTATCCACTTGGGCAGACAACCAGTGTTCAACATATTAACTTCATCCAAAATAAACTATACAGCAACATTAAATAATGAACAGTTTAAATTTAAGCTGAATCTGATCCTGTTCCGAATGCTTACAAAGAGCATCGGAGGTTAGTCTCCACTGTATCGCCACCTCTGAAAAGCCGATACTGCCGGTTGACTTCACACCTGGTAGGATATGACGGAATGGTAAATGGGTAAAAAACAAATTGCGATGGTAATTCAGTGAAACGGGTGAAATGTCTTTGTGTAAGGTAAGTAACCTAATAAGTTAATTATTTAAAAGTTTTGTGATGGTAGTGTATTTTTCTGCTTTCGTTTAAGTTTTTGTGTAAGATGAAAATGCATGGATGCAAGTCAAGAAAAAGTTGATATGGTTACAGCCTACTTTTTGTCAGGACAAAACATGCTGTTGCAAGAATACGATACGAGATGAATTATCCTAACCTATAAGTACCAAATAAGATGTTTGTAAAATTGGTTCAACATTTAAGGGATTATAGGAGCTTTATACGCCAATACGATAATGTTAGAGTGAAATAAGTTAAGGGAGCCAGAAACTTAGAATCAGAAATTTTAAACGTTGTGGAAGAGAAAACTATTACCGATAATCAAAGATTAGCCGCAAGGTTTAAAGTATATCATATGCTGTAAAAATCAGGTGAGTAAACAGATTATTTATTTATTTTTGTGTATTTCATTTATTATTATTTATTTATTACTATTCGAGTTTTCTGTTAGGTTTCATAGTTTATTTGAAAGAATTATATTTTTGTGTGTGTGGTAATAAAATTTATAGATATTTACTTACCCATCACAAACCTCTCCCTCTAGTTTTATTTCAATCTTTTCAGATCTAATATCAGACTGCTCGTCAATGTTTTTAAATTTCTCCGGCACATCCTGACTGTCTTCTTCCAGTTTTACTTTAATTTCTTCGGTTTTAACATAAAACTGTTTATCTGAACTTTTGTATTTTTCCTGTGCATCAAGGCAGTTCTTTACAAATCCACCATGAGTACGAAGCGAATGGAAACATGGTCCGCATATAACAGGATCCCTGGTAGCGTTGATGTTCTACAACAAAAAAATTTCAGTGAATCTCTGTTACCTTTTTAACTGAAAAAACCAATTCAAAAAAAAAAGAACAAAAACCAAACAAAAGTTTGCACATTACAATTATTTGTCTAGCAACACATTTACACAATCAATTCTATGGTTTTGACAGACATGAACAGTTCCAGCTTACGATCGGGGAATGGAGTCCGATATTTGCTTTAACTTTCGTTACAAATCTGCCGAATGAAATAATGAAGGTACAAAAATGTCTTTCATTTGTGTCGCAGCAGATGGTCTAATTTTGTGGTAGCTAGGTGCTCTTCATTTTCATATTGATATGTATCTCATCATATGTATCTCTGTAATAGTGTTGGTCTATACATGTCGGCTTCTATTATGAATAATTTTGTTGGCCTTTAAATGGATTAAGGGTGGAGCAACGGGATTAGCCCTCATATACATATGTAAATATAATTGCATACCAGGTATTGACAAGTAAACCTTTTGCTTTAAATATGCAAAGGGAAATCTAACAGCATGTTATACAAATTAAAAAAAATAGAAATAATCAATATAAATTAAATGGTTCAATCTTTTGTAAATACAGTAGAACCTCGATAATCCGAACTAATTGGGACCGGGGGTGGTTCGGACTATCGAATCGTTCGGATTACCAAACAAAATGCTTTCCAGGCATAGTAGCATGCAAAAAATGAACACTGACCTACTATTTCCCATAAAATAAGGAGCACGTTGTATTGTTAAAGGTACAAAATAGTTTGTTGTGATGCTCTGTTTACTGTAGCAGTTAGAGAGCGATTCTGATTACATACTATTTTTATTTTTCCCAAAACGGCGTTCGGATTATCGAACGTTCGGATTACAGGGGTTCGGATTATCGAGGTTCTACTATAATGTAAAATTCTTTAATTATTATTTTAGAATATTTTCTTAGAATATAAAGCGAATTGAAACAAATTCAAACACATACCTGACCTATTGAAATTGTTAAATGTAATAATTCAAAAAAATGTCTAAAATGATGATTTTGTAAAAAGTAAAATGCTTTATAATGTATCTGTATTTGGAATTTATCAGAAAGTCTTAATTTAAGAGACCTGAGTCCAAAAGAATTTTTTTTTAATTTTTGAAATTTTTCCAACACTAAAAAACATTATTTGTTGGTAATATTTGCCTACATATGAAGAAATCTCAATATGTGACTACTTTTATTTTAGGTTTCGATCTGTTATTCAAATATGAATCGAAATTTAGGAAATAAACAGTGCATATCCTATGTCAAATAGAGGATCTCGTTAGATCAGAAAGATAAGAGTTTAAATCAGGGCCGTCCATTTTTTGTATGTTTGTTTATATGTTTGTTTATATGTTTGTATGTTTGTCAGTTAGAGCAGTTAGAGCAGCTTCAAACTTGTCCTATATTCCTCTTTACCAATGCGCAATAATGGGAACACACAAAGCTATCCAAATAATTGCCTCTTCAAATTTGGCTTTCAAATATACAGGGTGTTAATTAAGTATGTACAATAATTTCAACAGACGATTATTTGAGTTATTTTAAGACAAAAAGTTCATATAAACAGTGGCCCGCGGTTGCTTCGTTTTGAAGATACAGGGTGTTAAACTTCTGTAAAGAAATTGCTATTCCTTAAATATTTTAAATACCCTTTACGCAATTTTGTTGTAATTTGGCAGTGTTAAGAGGCTAATTTAATCCTAACTTGATTAGATTTATTAAGTCCAGTGACCGACTGACTTTTTGTAATTTTTATATTTTTGGATTATGCAACTAAAAATACAACTTTTTTGTCTCTTGAATCCACTTATTTGCATATCCCTGGACCACAAAAGAAACTTGGGGAAAAAATAGGAAATAATCATAAAAATATTCATTAAGGTACCGCTCGGGACACCACTGGACTTAATAAATCTAATCGAGTTAGGGTTAAATTAGCACTACAAATTACAACAAAATTGGGTAAAGGGTGTTTAAGATACATATTTATGAAATAACATTTTTTTTAACACCCTGTATCTTCTAAACGAAGCATTTGCGCACTAATGTTTATTTGAACTTTTTGTCTTAAAATCACTCAAACAATCGTCTGTTGAATTTATTATACATACTTAATTTACACCCTGTATATAATAATGTTTGCTGCAAATTAAATTGTAAACTCTGAAAATATGTAACTTATGTAGGTGATTAAAAAAATATAGAATATGTAGCGTGCCAAAAATTTGTAATTTTTCATAAAATATGTAACTAGTACAGACCCTGCAGGCCCAATGAAACATGATAAATAAATAAAAGTTTGATAATTATTGATTTTGTAAGCATCTATATGTTATAGAATTTCATTTATACAAAAAACTATCTCTACACATACAAATATTTTCATGAGGAGTCCTTTGAAATATACTTACAACTTGTGGTATATACGTTCCAATTATGTCAATGTCAACTTCATTTAATGACACAAGTCCGGACGTCACCAACCGGAAACATAATCGACAAACCCTCTGGTATTCCGATATATCGGTTAACGGAATATTTCCCTTCTCTTTTAAGTAAACTTCTTTTAAATCAACCACTGACATTTTACTGGCATCAATATGAGGAAAAACAATATCCTCGGTTTCTATACAAGTCAACTTAAAATTAAAAGCATCAAATAATTTTATGGAACATGCTTCACAGATGAAATGTTTGTCTCGTTCGTCCAAATTCTGAAAAAGAAGCGTAATTAAAGATTTAAGGGATGCCAAAGTCGCATATGTAAAGACTACCTACGATAGCTATGAGTATGTAGCTGATTTTTTATATATTTATACTTCAGTTGCCGTAGTATCTACAAAAAGAATTCATTTTTCAAATAATTATGATTTATACGTTTCTAAAGAAATTCTATGACAACCATTTACGTTATGTTCAGTTAGTTTTTTTTGTTACGTGTTAACATTTGAACAAGCATTCCTTTAAGTAATTAATTAAATGAGTAATTTGTTAGATGAATGATACTATAGATATAAAAGTAACTTTAGTAACTTGTTCTTACCAATTTTGGTAAAACAATTTCCAGAACATCCTTTAGGGCTTCTATTACCTGGCAATTTGCATCGCATACACTATTTATACACAAACTGCAAAACATATTTTCCAAGTTTTCTGCTTGCAATTTTTCCATTTATCAGGTATTTCAATCCTCTCTCTTCTATACAAAACAATAAATTATACAAATTTTGTAAGCTCTGACGATAACAAACATTTCACATAACCTCATTTGATAACTTCTTCTTCTTCCTAGAGCAACATATAAACAACATAATTCTTCTTTAATTCGCCCACAGCTGGCATAGACAAAGATTAGAAAATTGTCATTGACCTGCCTGTTGGTCGCAACTGAATTCATTTTAAAACGTGACAATAAAAAATTATGTATAACAATACTGTAATCGTATGTTTGTAGTATTAAATATTGAACCTTACTTATATAGTTATCATTAATAGTTGTTACATATAATACTTTTATTAGCATATTATAACAATGGTAAAAACAATGGTATAAGTAACAAATTTTTTCTCTTTGATACACACTTTCTTAGATCTGAAGATATCGACTTCGCTGCCCTCTGGCCCAGGTCGGCCTTACTTCTCCCCTCCCGATAATCAGCAATTAGTCCAGAGGTCACCAAACTTTTTGCTACCAATTTTTTCTGTTTGGTAGATCCCCGAATCCCCCAAAATCATAAACTTCAAATGTGTTTTTGACAGCTGACATAGTGCTACTAAAAAGTAAAAAAAACGCTTTAAGTTTTACACATTTATTTATTAAAACGACACAAAATGCAAATATAGCAAAATTATAACATGCAATAACTATAGTCCGGTCAAATTAGTCATAAAAATAGTGGTCGAATAACGAAAATTCCGACAGAGCTAAATTTTGGTGGAGACCTTGGGTACACCATTAGAAATAAAGTATCAAAGGTCCCCATCGATCTCGTGTGCTAAAAAAGTAATTCGGGGTGAAAGGTCAAATTTTGAGGTTTTTTGGATTTTTTTCGAAAACGGTAAGTTTTATCAAAAAAGTAGCCAGGACAAAAATTATAGATTTTATAATTATCTACAGATATAGTTCTTATATTTTTTTTGAAGAATCACCATTCCTGAGATATTGCGATTCTAAAAGTTGACCGAGTCACGTTCTACATGATGCACATATATACGTATATACATAGTGAGGCACTTAATACAAGTAAATATGACTATTTGTGTCTCTTATATGTATAACTATACTATTCTGAGAATCACTCAAATGAAACTCAGTCCCTTAGTCAATCCCTTCTACCCGCATGGCCTTGAATAACATCTGGCTACTCTATTGTAAAAACTTTTGTAAAAAATACACGAAACAAGGAACAAGTACAATTATCTTGTCTTCCTCCAACATAGGCTTCTGCTAATCAATACTTGTATCGAGTGTCGTGTGTGTATCAAGTTCAGACATGGCTAGGCAATCAACTGAACCTAGAAGACTGGGGTTGGAAATTAACAGAACCGATTCAAACTTTACTCCCACCTGCTCCGGAAAAAATCTTAAACACTATTTTTTGCAATTACAAAGAAGGTTGTAGTGCTAAATGTGGCTGTAGAAGAGTATACTGTGTTCTCCAGCGTGTACTAATTGTCATAGTCAGTCTTGCTCAAATGTCCAACTAAATACAACAGATGAAGATTCATGTGATTTCGATGAAGATACAGCTGATTCGTTTGAACAAGAAGAAGAGGAATAAGAAGAAATCGAAGAAGACATGACTGTTAAAGTCGACTTTGAAGAGTATGAATCAGATTAAAATATCAAAAGAAATCAGAACTACATATAAAGCCAATAACCAATATCAATATCAATAATCATCATGTAGTTAAAACAGTATTGTCCCTGAAAATTCCATCATAACAGTTCATGGAGTGGCCCTACCGGGGAAACCATGTTAAAAAAACGCGCCAAAGTACACTACCTCACAGGTGGTGTGGAAATGTGTGCATATCATGTAAAACGTGACTCCTTCAATTATTAAAATCGCGATATCTCAGAAATAGTGATTCTTAGAAAAAAAAGTATAAGGACCATTTATGTAGATAATTTTAAGATCTATAATTTTTGTTATAACTACTTTTTTGATAATACTTACCGTTTTCGAAAAAAATCTAAAAAACCTCACATTTTGACCTTTGACCCCGAATAACTTTTTTAGCACATATGGGATCGATGGGGACTTTTGACACTTTATTTCTAATGGTGTACCCAAGGTCTCCACCAAAATTTAGCTCTGTCGGAATTTTCGTTATTTGAAATGTCTTATTTTGACCGGACTAACACAAAAAAATGAATGCTTTGGAAGAGATGAGCCTGGTATTTTAATAGCAAATTTTCAATATTTGGCTTCAATTTAGTTAGGTTTAACTTGAAATCTCCTCGATCGGTGATTTCTAATCTATTTCTTTTTTTGGTAAGATTGGCAACTACGTTGAAACCTCTTTCCATGAGGTATGAAAATGGAAAAACTATCAAAATCTTTCTCGCAATAGTCCGTAATAATAATTTTACCATTTACATCTCGTGCACCCCTATTTTTTGTTTTCGCTGACATGGCCCCCTTGCAGTTCGGAATCGACCCCTATAGGAGTCGGACCCTATAAATCTAACGGTAGTATAACGAAGTATTGATTTCAGTAATTTTTGTACTGGCGCTAGCAATGTACTTTGTGCTTCACTATCAGAAGTGAAAAGTATTGAAAACGGTAGGTAGTACTACTATATGGTATTGGTTTATAAAGCATTTATTTTTCAATGAATCTCTTTACAGTTAACGAAGTTAAACAGGGTTCATAGTTCAAAAGTAATGAAGAATTCCCTGNTGTACTTTGTGCTTCACTATCAGAAGTGAAAAGTATTGAAAACGGTAGGTAGTACTACTATATGGTATTGGTTTATAAAGCATTTATTTTTCAATGAATCTCTTTACAGTTAACGAAGTTAAACAGGGTTCATAGTTCAAAAGTAATGAAGAATTCCCTGACTTTTCCAGGTTTTCCCTGACTTATAAAAATAAAATCCAGGTCACTTGTAGTTCATTTTTACATACTAATTGGTGTTTATGCATTAAATTTTTTCTCGATTGGACTCCATAATCTTTTCTATACCCTAAGAACCTCTTATAAAGGTTTCGAAACCACAAATAGTTTTCTCTTTCAAGAACCCAGGGCCGTCTTTCACAAAATTTCCAGTTGCAAACATCAAATTCCCTGACTTTCATGAATATTTTTAAAATTCCCTGACTATTTCCTGTTTTTTATGAAGAATAACGAATTCCCTGACTTCCCGGTATTCCCGGTTTTCCCGGCCGCTACGAACCCTGTTAAATCACTATTCTGACCATATTTTATATAAAAATTGTGAACTACAGCTGTCAAATCATCATTTTTAAAATATTGTTCAATGAAAACGCGTTCTCTAAACCTGGTATTTTGAAAATTTGAAAATGCATGTTTGATTCTTAGCTGTATTTTTAAAAAAGATTTCGTACATTTCATTTCAAAAGTGAGNTATAAAAATTGTGAACTACAGCTGTCAAATCATCATTTTTAAAATATTGTTCAATGAAAACGCGTTCTCTAAACCTGGTATTTTGAAAATTTGAAAATGCATGTTTGATTCTTAGCTGTATTTTTAAAAAAGATTTCGTACATTTCATTTCAAAAGTGAGCCATTTAGCCAAAATAATAGTAACTGTAAAGAGACTGGTTCCACAAAAAACGTACTGGATTTTTTTTCTCATTAATAGTACAATATCATGGAAAGTCTAAAAATACCATTGGTCTAGAACTTTTCAATTTTCTAAGTTATTATTCTTAAAACTTTAAATTCGCACACGATGTTTTGGATTGATAAAATGGTATTATTAAAAAAATTTAGTAATTATTTAATGGTATATTAAATAATTACTAAATGTTTGCCGTAAAACTCGAAAATCCTAAGCCGAACTCTTATAACTGGTACAATTAACATATGTGTTATCTCAAGATATCTGATAGATTTCTGTATAAAGATAGGTAGTTTTTTTTATACAGGGTGACTGGTAAGTCGACGTATTCCTTTGAAGACGTTTTAGCAGAGACAATTTGCAGTCAAGTGAACCATAATATGCATTATCCAAAAGTTGATAGTTTTTGAGATATTTAAATTTTAATGTTTTCTTAGGAGTGTACTACCTAATACTACTAATTGTAAAATAAAAAAAAGAGAACTGTTTTGCAGTTTTCTTCTTTCTACCGTTAATACGCATAGTAATTCAAGTTATGCAGGAGCTAAAACCTACAGAAGTTCAAAAATAAGCATAAAACACACCACAGAAATGAGACGGATGAGAGTTGTTAGTAACTCACAACGATTTATAACTTCTCTCCTTACAACTGCTCCTCAAAGTGACGACCTTGCCTCTTTATTTCGCATTTGGTAATTCTGTTGGAAAAATTATTCCCGTATTCTCGTATCCTAGTTATTCATACAAAAATCTACAACTTTTGTAGAGGTCACTTTTTAAGATAACTTCAAAATTTACGAAAAAAATGCGAAAAACAGGTTTTTTCTGATTTTTCGTTTTTTATTTCTCATTTCCGCAAAAATAATTTAATTTTGACGAAACTTCGTGAAAGTATACCTTTCTGTGTCTTAAATAACCACAATTTTTTTTAGATAAAAAAATCGAGAAGTTTCTGAGATATTCATTTTTTCCGGTCTGACACACTTTTTCTTCAAAGAAATATTCTACTTAGAAAAATCATCGTACATAGTTTTGCCAGTGAGCATTTTTTTCGTTTTGACATATACTTTTTGATGAAATAAAAAATCTGTAATCACAGTTCAAAAACATGCTCAAAAACGCAAAAAAATAAAAAATTACTTGCAACAATGAATTTTTCAGTAATTGTTGATAATTTGTTTAAATTAAAAAAAAAATCAAAAACTGATTACACCGTTCAATTGTACGGAAAAAATACAAAAATAACTGTCTCATTGTTTGACCCAAAACTTTATTTTTGTTCAGAATTGCTATAAACAGTGAATAAATAAAATAAATAATTTTTTTTTGTAGGATCGATGTTATTTTTTTAAAATTTTGATGAATTCATAGATATACAGTGTGTCCAAGATAAGGATGGGATAGCATTAGGATCTAGGAAACGGTAAGATTAGAAA